TGCAACTATTGTTTCATGTTCAAGATGATATTGAAAATTGAAATTGTAACGATAACCGTAGACTTCCGTAAAATTATGTGTTAGCTTCAACAAAGGTCGATGAGCAGGATCGCCAATTACTTAAATGAGTGTATCTATATATTTATATTAATTAAAGCTTTATTTTTAGTAAAACTTTTTTTTTACTAAAACTTATTCTAGAATAACTTTATTTAGTAACATGAAACTTAAAAATGACAAGTTATAAATGTTAAAGTAGATTCCTACACCCTTCAACTGCATTCTCTTCAATTTGTACATATGTACTGAGAAGAGGAAGGGGTTTGTTTACTTGCTTATGCCTTAGTGTTACCTGAAATCATATGAGTGTATTCGTGAACCCATCAGCCCGTTCTTAATGTAATTTAATCAGCCGCTTTTAAAAGGAAAATTAAAGCTCTTGCTGAGTATACTTGTATTTTAAAGAAAAACTCAAGGAAATGCTTCCATGTTTAAATAGTCGGTAGCACCTGTCAGGAAATCTAGGCGACAAATTGTTGCCAAACAAATTTTACATAAATTTTCGTCAATAATAATAAATAAAGCATTATGAATGAACTTATTCAACTTAAATAAATAAAATTCTACACGGTAAGAAATTTCTTTGAGTGTGTAATACATTTTACTCTTCTAATTTTGTCTGTGGCAGTAACTAAGGTTAGACGTGCTTTTATGAGCTCGGCGATTTTCGTTTGTTAAAATAAGTTGATTACAGAATGTGTATAAATTTTTGTGTAAAAAATGGAATAAAGTGTAACAAAGTTTGTTACACAAAAACTGATATGTTTTAAGTACTTGACGTTTAAGCAGTTCAGTCTCGGTCTTTTCCGTTTGCAATTGCGTTTTATTTCCATCCTCAACTCTCGCCATCTTTCCCATACTTTTCGATCGATTGCAACATTGCGAGGTAGCTTTTTCTCTAAAGGCAAACCTCATCATACCAAAAACATTTATTTATGTATTTATCGTGAATATTTAATTTAAAAAATTCGTGGTTATATATTAAATTATTTAATATGCAAATTATTTATTTATTCTAAGAATCAAAAAATATTAAAATTATCTACATTTTTAAAGAAACTATTTTACAAGCCCTTAAAAAGATGCAAAACCAAATACTTCAGACACGGATTTTGGTCATCCGAGCGAAATCAAGATATGCATGTGGAATTCTAAGAATGTTAATAGTTAAATTATCCCTTGTATTGCTTTTACAGTCATGGAATTGAAGTTATGCTCTTATCGAAAATATATATATTTAACTGGCACTTTGTAACCGCTGGCGCGAATTTCGGCCGAGCTCTCCTTTAATTTGTGCAGCTTACACTAAGCCGCCTCCGAACGGCCGATGGGTTTTTGATGATGAGCCTTTATTTTAGACAGAACTACAATCGTAGGGGTTGACATTCATCATTTCTTCATTTTCACTTTTGTCGCAATATAATGTTTTAAACGCTTCATAATAACCAAGGAGTGATTTAGCGATAGTAGATAGTTTTTTTTTAAACTGGAAGAGAATATAATTCAAAGCATACTTATTAGGACTCCCATCTAATAAATTCAAAAGACTAACAGTTACATAATATGGTCAGGAGTACAAAAAATTGATTCGATTTTATCTTCCCAAGACTACCAACAAGGAAATAACATGAAACCAATGCAGACTTATTTTCGAAACACTCTGCCGTAATTATTTAATGGAATGAAAATCCAGTTGAAAGTCAGTATACATTTCCTCATACGCCAAGTAGTTAGTTAGGAACAAGTGTCGAGTATCACTAGCTCATCGCCGATTAAACACTTAAGATGGCAGAAAAAGCGTTAAAAATGTGATAAAGACCCGACAAAGAATTAACTATGAAAAATATTGTGTCGCCTTTTTCTCCCAAATTTCTATTGGAAAGCCAGTCATCATCCAGTAATTATTGAACCACCGTTCCTGGCACCTCCCTATGGAATTTCTGCCAAACATAGTTTTAGAAAATCGCTTCCGTGGTTAGAAAGCACCAATATATATAGAAATATATTTATAGCTTCCGATAATGCCCATCTGTTTCTGGGCTAAGAAAGAGTGGCGTCATCATATGTGTAGATCATTTGGCTTGTTGCTTTGCACTGATTTCCAAAATGTTTTCCTTTTGTCACATCAATTTGGCTTTTGCGAAAAGGTGGCACAACTGACAAGTAAATCGTATATACGAAGTTAGAAAAGCTTTCGAGTTCGTCCATTTCTCTTGATGAGGCGTCTTTACAAGTTGTTACAGGCTGTCGCTGTAAAACTCAATGAATATATTTAAGTATATCACAGAACATAACAAAATTTTAAATTAATCGAAGAAATACCGAATTATAGTTAACGAAAGTAAGTGCAAACACATTACTTTTTCATTGAACCCTTTCGATCAGATACCCATGCACCATTTGACCAGAGGGACAAGAGTGTTAGATGAGTTGGTTTAAGAGGGCATGCAAAGAGACTGTTAGTGTAGTTGTTAGGTCTCCCTGTGACATTTAAATATGCTAATCTTATTTCTCTTATTTATCACTTTCTGTTCGTGATGTACATTTTTGTATGGTTAACGGGACGGTTACATAGCTTGCGGCCACCGAATTTAGTGTAAATATTGAAGTTCTCCAAAATACGGGTATGCAGTTTGCAGACGTGCCCAGCAACACAATTATGAAACATAAAGTTTTCATAACGTTATTTAATATTACCATTATAACATCACTACCACACATACACATTAAAGATACAGTACATTTCATATATAACATATCCTTTATTTCATCAAACTTTAGTGTGTGCAAACAATTTTATAATTTGATTCAGTAGTAGTGTAACTCATTGCAAGCAGCACGTATGTAGCTTTGTTAGGGTCAAACCTGGATAGATAGGAATTAAGGCGGCATTCAATATAGTCAAATCTGAATTTCGCCAATGATACTCTGGTATCTCGAGGCAGTTCGAGCTCTTGGTCATATTCCAGTGTCTGTTTCAATTCTCCCGACGTTAGCATCCCAACAGATATTGCTCATGTCCAGGCGATATAATGAAGCTTACCGTCGCAGTCTTCAGATTCTTCAATGCGTCTGTGCAGCATAGTTAACGATCGGTCGGCCAAATTCTTTGTAGGTTTCTTTGTCTAGTGCTTTGAGTATTTTGTTGCGTGCGTCAACTTTTATTGAATTCAAGTTTTTCTCTCCTTGTTTTGATATTTGGAATTTAATTTAGTAATTGATCAGAAGCGGGGCTAGAAAAATTGAAAGACTTGCCTGTACCGAGGTATCTGTACCCCTTTTTTCACCTCCGCCATCTAGGAACTAGCAGACTTAACAGCAAGACTTGACGCTTGTGACTAACTTAACCTTTAACCGAAGGATAGCTAACCGTCAGACAGACGGAAGTGACATTTTCGTTTTCACCAAGTTCGGGTTACTTAACTTCTTATTAGTTTGATCATTAAATTCACAAAAAAATGCGATGTGAATACTTCAAAACTGCATGACAGCTTATGTTGTGGTTGAGTAATTCTTAGGATATTCCGTTTCCTATTTAATTTTTTTAAGTTTTATTTTATGGTTATGGAAAAAAAGTTTAATTTAATGAAATTTATTTCATATATTTTTGTTTGGGAAAAAGGACTTTGATGGTTTTAAATTACATGTATAAAATGTATGAAATTTATGTATATGGTTTCCTTGTGCCTCAGCTATGTTTTCGTCGGCATCGACGGATGTTTCTGATGGTTCATTCGCTTGAACTTCTACCTAATCCAAATTATAGTCATTCTAGATAGCAAAATTGTGCAACACTCCGCAGGCAACAATGATGAATGATTGAGAAAGTACCGCTATAGCAATAGACACTTTGTTCACCACCCGACTTGCAGTCGCTTTCCTTAATCCGCAGATATCAGCAAAACAAATAAAAAAAACTTCCCGATTCATAAACGCAGTGTTAAAAGCAACATTCCGCTGGCCTAAGTGCTTGATTCCTACAAAATTATCAACAATATTTATATATTCCAAGCTTACTATATTTACAAACGTTTCAGTGTGGCTTCTTATTTTACTTACTATTTTCTCCAAAAGGTATTTTGCTTTAATTTTGGAAAGACGAAATCTCCGAATAAAAACTAATTCGTCATATATCTCAAAAAAAAAAAAAATTATTTGTGTTCGTTCCCTATAAATGCCCTTCTGAATCAATATAGCCGGATAGTCAGTGCTTTCCTATTTTATCTTAGTTAAATGTATTTCAAAGTTATCACCGGAATGCTATTTTATTTATTATTTTACAATTTCCAGCTGTCAAATTAAATTCTGGTTAAGAGGTAATCGCCAATCAATATTGGCGTTAAGTTAACCGCAACTTAAATGGCAGATGAGCCTTAACCGGGCATTGTGAGAATAAATTTTATGCTACCTTCCGATTAAGTTATGATAAAGTGCTTAACCGGAGATGGTGACAACAGTCCTTACTACGTGATAACTTATACAGCCCAAACACATGTTTCGCTCTCTCAATCGTAATTCGCACTCCAAGTCCATGCTAAATGATTTAATTCGCCATACAAATTTTCTTTAGCGAGTTATAGTAAAAGTTTGTATTTCGTTCTCAATTACCATGCAAATTACGAATTCTTATCGAAATCTTATCGAAACTAGCTGACAAATCAAAACAAAAGAGAGACGAATCCTAAAAAAAGACACTAACACACAAACATTGATTTGAAACCAAAGACTATTTGTATGTTAGAGAAGAAACAAATTAGAAATTATTAAAGACACTGGCATTACATTATCAATTTAATTCAACATTTTGTTAACTTCTACTAAAATCTTTCATTTTCCATACGTTTTCAAATGGAAAAAACAAGCGGAACCGAAAACTGTCAAACTGCCTGCCATGTGAGTGGAGGTAATTCGCATTCGTAATTGAGAGAGCGAAGCACGTAATTGGGCTGTCGTGGAAATGCCGTATAATAGTATATGTAAACAACTCAGAAGGGAAAGATCTTTACGATAGTTAGTGGTAAATAGCAATCGATTTTGTTTTGTTTTCTTTCTACATATATAAATTGTGCGTTCAACATGGAAAACAAAAGCAAGGGATTGACTAAAGTTAAAAAGAACTCCAAAGTAAGTGTAATTTATATGTAAAATAGTTTAATCATTGGTCAATGGCTTCTAGTGAAATCTCACGCCATACCTGGACGAAAATTTGTCGTACATAAGTTATACATACAGAAGATGTTTATGTACTTTGGTATTCAGTGACAATTAGCAAAGTTTGATTTATTCATCCTTTATCGGCGTATTTAGTAATAGGTAAAATTTTAAAATCATAGGTTAACAATTATTTATAGAAGAGAATTAAATGAACTCTATTTTCCGCAATGTAATTACTCCGGAGAAGATAATGACATTACATCTGCTGTGGATGGTCATAGCGATAATCGCTCCAGTACGTAAAAATCTCATTACATTATTGGGTAGCTCAAAAATATTGCTTGGAGATAAAGGTACAACGCAGGATGTTGTGTTCTTATACTCTTATGCGATCACCCAAAGCTTAATACATTTATGGGACAACATGAAGATACATCCCTGCAAGAAGGCTTCCGATCATTTTAGCCAACATGTCAGGAATGCATGATGTCATATCCCGTCAGCTCGTAGAACGATTTTCCTCATCATTTTCTTAATGCCGAAATGACAAACGTGATGTTAACATTTGTACATGTGCATTTTAGTCATTCTTATCTGAGAAACAGAAAACAGCATTGATACCAAAAGAAAACAATTTTGACGTAAAATAATGTAGCAGTGCCGTCCAAGCCGAGCACAGATAAGAGGCAGAAGACGCCGAAGGAAATCAGCTTTGACAATAATTTTCCCTACATATTTTACATACATACACACATTATTAAGATTCAGGATTTATTTCAATATTTTATACAATATCATATATAATTGGCGCTTTGGAACCGCTGAAGCGATATCCCGCGAACTCCTCCTCCAATTTGTGGTTTATCTTCTTGATGTTTTTCCAGCGAGTGGAGGGACCTGCAGTTTATACCAAGCCGCCTCCGAACGGGTGATAGTTATTTTATGAGGAGCTTTATTTCATCTCAGAAATATACTGGAAGGGGTTGACATTCCCTGCCGCAATTAGAAAATTTAGCTTAATATTTTTTTAAATTAATTTTCTATAACTTTTGGATGTCGCACGAGGATTTGAACCCAAGCCTTCCAAAATAAAATAAAAAAATTAATATTCGAATAAGAATGTTATTAATATCTAGATGCAGTTGTACCTCGCACAGCTTTATTGAATATTTTCAAATCTCCTGTTGCTGCAAAGTGAGAAGCGTCCATTCCAGTCAATTTGCTCCATTACCCGAATTTTCCGCCCTTAAATAAACAAATGTAGAAAACAATGAAAAATTAATTAATAGACAATATATTATTACCACAGTTTGTACAGGATCCTCATCATATATTTTTCACTTCTATCTAATGCGGAGAAAATAATAAAAAAATGGAGTTCTACTCGAGATTAAGAGCAAAGTAAAACGGATAATCCGTTCAACTGAATTCTCTTTCAATTTGTGTGTACTCGGAAGAGAAAGATAAACAAAAAAACTTGCTTATGCGTTAGTGCTGCCCGAAATCGTGTGAGTGTGTTGTGATCTCATCAGCCCATTCTTGCAGGGATATCACTCATTGGGGAAGAAGGGCTTCCCAAAGGTTAGTTTTGACGTTAGCTGAGAAAAGTATTTAGCCATGAATTGAGTAGTATTTCATTTCCGCTGAGTTGGGGAGTTTTAACATAATTTTTATGTCATAGAGGCTTAAAAATTGATGGTCTTAAATATTTTCAATGGTTCAAAATATTTCAATGCCACACTAAACAAATGTTGTACGCGTACATGTCTCTGGGTTATCAAATTTCCTCTTGCTCATAAAGTCTATGCCATAAGTTGATGGCGACAGAAGAAGTTTGCAGGTTTTCAATTGCTTCCTCCGATTATTACTTTTTGGGACAATCTGACTAATTGCTGTCACTGTGATTTAAAGTTCCTAAAGTCATTAAAATTTTGTAGTTTAGTTTTCTCTTACAACACGTTCGACGTGCATTTAGTAACTTGTCGATCCTAAAGAGAGCAATTATTCAAAATTTATTAACATACGTAATAAACAAGATTTTTTATCTCTATATATTTGTATATATTGTTTTTTTTTTTTTATAATTATAGCCTTCGAGCAGCAGCCGTAGCGCAGAGCTTCTTGGTTCTCAAAAATGTATTGCATTCCCTACACAAACCCATAAAAAATTACAAGCAAATAACATTGTACAATTTGGCGAAAACTTTTTCGACGATTCTCCCGCTAACAAAAATCTTCAGAATGTGATACGAAAACTTAATAAAAAAGACCCGACCACGAAAAAGAAGGCTTTGGAAGAGCTTATTCATGATATAAATGCAGCGAATGTTGAAGATGTGTCTTCAATTTTACCCTTGTGGACTAAGGTCTATCTGGTTTTAGCCTATGATCCGATACACAATGTACGTGAGTTAACACAGGAAGTGCAGAAATTAATTGCTTCGAAAAGTAAACGCATGATGGCTCCATATCTTAAGCAGTTGATCCCAGTTTGGATATTTTCTTGTTTTGATAATTATACTGCAGCTGCTTATGTGGCTCGCGCAAGCCTTTTTGACACTTTTAAAGCAAACCGAATTCAGGAAGTTTGCTTACATTGTCAGTTAGAGATCCTCGAATATGTGCGAAGCAATCTTTTAGAATCCTTGGATAAAAAAATGTTAGCTGAGAACTATTTCTGCCAAAATAAGGTTTATGGGAGCCTTGAAGTACTTTCATTTTTTACCGAACATACCATTACAGCGGAGTTATCTTCGGAATCGTATATAATATTGCGCTCGATTCTTGAACATAAAAGTTTTTGGGCCTATGGAAAAAGCGGTGCAAAGTCAACGAGGTTTGTAAAATATTACTATTTGTTAATTTTTGCATTTTGAAGTTTTTCAGTACAATAAGAAGTGTACTGTAATAAAATAAATTAAATAACCACCATTCTTAACTATGTAAATCTATTTTCCGATTTTATTTTTAAAATAAATTGTGTATATCTTATTATTTTGAAAAGTATTTTTTTCAATGCACACATTGATTTATATATAGTTAACATAAGCAATTGTTCACAGGGTAGCATGGTTTAAAGTCATCACCAACCTGATTCAGACAACATCTTGCAGCGATATACTTCTTAAATGGAAATGGGAGATCATTGAAATATCTTTTAATGCAATCGACGACTGTGATCGAAGGTTGTCCTGCCAAGTTTGGAATTGTGTATTAGTTATACAATCAACATATGCGGATTGGTAAGTGTAAATAACAATGTGTATAAATAAACATATAAGAGGACATCGGCGATTTTAAAAGGCTGCATTCGTTTCAATGTAATTTTGAACAAATGTAACTAAATTTTTTTTCAAAAATTAATAAGTTTATTTAAATAATGAAGTGGACTTTAACAATAAGAAATTAATTCGAAAATAAAACCAAAAATTTTTAATATTTTATAATGTTTTCTATGTTTTACAGTGATATACTAATATATATTTTAACGCCTTGTCATATAAAGTTATAGTGGTATTCTACATTATGCAAAATTACATTATTTTTTGAATTGAGTAAGCATTGCTTCATAACAAAGTGAAAAGTTTATAATTATCTGAATATTTCCTTCGAACTCTACTTACATATATACTATATTTAAGTCATGACTTGTTATTACCAGCTTTAATCATGATATAATATTTTTGCAGGCATAAAAATGTGGACCTCAAGGTTACGATTCAACCGAAGTTATCTTCCATATTTCAAAATAACTTTTTTAATAACTACGAAAACATCTGCCCTAAACTTTTATCGTTTTGTTCGGCAATAATATCGGCCTACTATAATATTGAAAACTGGCATTTATTTTTCGAGCAGTTTTTAAGCGATTTTAAACAGATGTTTTCTTCACAAACGTTGAATGCTCGTGAAAAAGAGCACAAAATTATTTTTAATGCATATTTTGATTGCTTGAGCTTTGTACTAAATAAACTGAATGGTACTGAAAAACAGTCTGAAGAGAAGGAGAAACTTCTATTGGAATTTATGCAAAGAAATATAATCCAACCCATCGAATGGTTAATAAATGCTAATGAAAATGCGACAGAAAAGTTATTTTTTGACTTAACTGTCAAAATGTTAAGTGATATCAAACCAAATAGTCAAAACGAAGGTCGGCTACCCGAAAATCTACTGATTATTTTTTGGACAGCGATATTTGATTTAATATCTTCCTTAATGTCTGGTCAAGAACATTATCCTCAAGGAATTATTAATTTATTTGAAAATCTTGTCGGTTTGAATGAAAGAAGCGTAAATTCAGAACTAAAATACGGAATAATGGAAAAAGACATTGAAAGTAAATTAAAGAAAGTGGCTGCAGAATTGGTTTACCATTGTTTAAGAAGAATCGCTAATAAAGATAGTCCAAAATGTGTTAAGCACGTGTTAGCTATTGTAAACACGTTTCCAGATTCTGATTCTGAATTCTTTGAAAATATAGCTAAAAAATGCGATATAGTAGAGGCGATTAAAATATTTTTTGAAGTAATACCTACAGTGGAGAAAGAAATGTATAAAGATGTTGCCGAGGTCATTTTTAAATTTCTCAATTGTCTGGACGAGGACCAGCAGTTCACAGTCATTAAGACGCATATATTTTCAGTAAGTTTTGTAATTAACTTCTGTTCACTTCACAAAAATAATTTAATTTCAGATCCGTTCGAGTACTATGCAAATTTTAATCTTAGAGCAATTATTTCTGCAATCATTAAACATAGGAAAAAACAAAGAATTGTTGTTATCTTGTCCAGAAATAAGAGAATTACTAATTAAATTAACAAAAAGCCTTTTAATTAACAAGCCAAAAGAAACTATTAATTGGTTGAATAAACTATTTTTGCAAAATGGAGATGGCAAGTTTTACGTAGGATCAAAAACAGTCGATACATTGGTTTGTACAATATTTGAATCTACTGAAATAGAAGAGAAGAGGGAAAGAATTGAACTATCTGCCGATATTATATTACAACTAATCCCAAAACTATTTTCATTAGAAAATGTCTTAATTGAAACGAAACAAAAAATCTTTTTGAAGTTGTTCACATTCATATTGCAAAAGTCTGCTGATAGTTTACTAACAGAGGATGCGCTTCTTAAACTGACGTTGTGTTGGGAGAACATACTGTGTGATGAAAATATTGTGACTGAAAACATAATTTCAGAGTGCACAACGAATTTGCGATTTCAAAAAAAAATTACCATTGCAAGTACATTGAAATGTGCAGATTTAGCAATCCGACTTATAGTAGATACTACTAGAAAAAGCACAACAAATGAAACGAGATATACTACATTAAACAATCGAGTTCGTATGATTGTAACCACCAACGACATATCTGAATTGCAAGAGCAATTGAGTTACTACACTTCGTCCATAGAAGCGATAAAAGGGATAATTTCCACCAAAGAAGAACTGAGGTATCAATATTTCAACATGAAGAATGTTAGCACTATCTTACAACGTGCACTGTTAAATGTATATATTATAAAAGGAATGTATAATAATTTAAATAATGAGGAGCTAGAAGAAGAAAGTGCAATAGCTTGCAACTTATGTCATGAACTACTAAATTGTATATACATCACCTCAACTGTTGAAAGTGTACTTCAAATTCAAACGGAGGTAAGTCAATTTATTTTAGATACAATTAGATACGTACATATATATTGGTGTTTTCTTTTTTTTTTAAACAAATAACCAAAGAATAAACAAAGGCCATAAACGATGTATTGTTTGTATGTCGACCGTCGGTTAAACAAAAAATGCGATTGGAGAAAAAAATCAGAGCATAAATATTAGAGAAGCTTAGCTTTAATTCAGATTCGTCGTCAAACATTTTTTGCACGCCTCAAAAAACTTCTTTCATTTAACAAAAATTAATTAATATTTATTTATATCGAACATTAATTTCGTTTGAAATAACAAAATATTATTAGGAAACTCTAATATATGTAATTTTAAATTGTGATGACCTTTAGAACTAAAAAAAAACGTTTATCTAAAGCAGACATAACACTAATTTAAAATAAAAGCAATATTATTTTGTCTAATAGTAATTATTATTATATTTAAACTGGTTCAGCTATGGCTGGCTATACAAGTGTTAAAGTTAAATATAATACTATTAACTATATATGATTTTTAACTATGTTTTATAAACTAATTATGATTTTGTATTGCAGGAAAGTAATCTTGCTCTCTTCGTTAAAGAACTTCAAGATCAAATAAAGACTATACTACAAAATGAGACTACTCTGTCAGAAAAGACGCACGATATGCTCATTCATAACGCTAAGACCAATAAAACTATTTCACATTCCCGATCCTTACCCATTCTCATTTCACATCATCGATTTGCGCAGTTTGAAGAAAGTGCCGCAATCATCTTTATAGAGGAAATGTTCAAACATTTTTGTAATGAAGAGGACTTAAGTGTTTATATCAACGTCTTGCAGGTATTTATCTATAAATGTGAAATGTAATTTCAAAAAAAAAAAAAAAAAAAAAAATCCAGTGCTTGTTCTTCTGTTTTCAAGCTGGCTGTAACAATATGGCACACAAAGCTAATAATGTTTTAATTGATTTCAGTATCAAATACCAGAACTAAGTCATAGAAGTGTATCGATTAACAATATTTTCCATTGTGCAAAGTCAACCGACATTTGGCTCAAATGCTCAGCACTACGCTGTCTCGTCATAAATTATTTTAAGCACAATGAAATGGAAGCAGCTGATAAGGTAATATCTGGACAATTATTGGGCTTCGCTCGAGAAATAAGTGAAAAGCTTCTAACTGAAAAGGCTGGAATATATGATACGTAAGACCCTGTTCATATACAGAAAATAGCTTGATATTAATGTATGAATTTTATTTTGATTCAGGGATATAAATAAGCTCAGCTATATTGAAGTTGTTGAGTTAATAGAATATATTCGGTTGCTAACAGAGATGCTGAAAAACATGCCGTGGTGTCTGGGCAGTAAGGAGTGGGATAGCATTACAATTGGCTTGAGTTCGTGGGTGCCGAGCATTCTCAAATCTGCAAAAAATTTGAAAATACCACAGGTAGCTCAAACTATCTTTATAATTAATAAATAATAGAATAGTATGCATTATTGCTTTTATTGCAGGTGGCATTATTTACGGTACATGTTTGCAAGTTATTTTCCACATTCGTGGGATTCATGAACGCAGAAAAGAACAGCAGCTCAACCTTATTGGTTAAAAAGACTATTGATGAGTGGTGTTCACTATTTGCAAAAGATGTGAATTGCAAATTATTCCAATCATTTTATGAACTACTAAAGATTCAAGGTAATAACATACATGTAATAAATTGTGTTAATATAAATATTGATAATATAATGCTATGTACAATAAATTCTAATCATAAAATGACATTTAATCAAAATACAAAATTAACTTTCTTAGAGAACTTCACAACGGAGTACTTTTCATTGATTTTCAGCGAAATAAGACCATCGATATTACATTTGGATTTGGACGCAGTTTACTTGGTTAGGCTTATATTATTTCCATTTGCACATTAAAAGTCTTATTATTTTTTTATATTACCTAGTTTTGCAAGAACTCATCGAATATTAATTTGAAAAACATGTTCGATACTCTGCTCCAAAACTTCTCTAATCCCAATATCATTGTGAGAAGGACGTGTTATTACATATTACGAGAATTAACCAATTTCTACGTCGTTGACGATAGTAAGAACATCCACTCCGTTGATAACGACTTAAAACATTGTGAAAAAACTCAACACTTTTTGCAATTATTTGAAAGCTTTATAATATCCCAACAGCCGTATGTTGATAAGTATTTACTGGAATTCAGGTAATCGTATATATGTTTGCATTGCATAAAACTTAGAAAAGAAATAAAAATTTTATATATACATATATAGCTTTAAAATCACAGAAATAGATGAATTCTCGAAAATCGACAGAGAAAAGGCTTTTACTTACCTACTGATGTGGGACTGTATAATACATGCTTGTGTCAAATCACCATTGGCTATGCGTACTATTTACACATCATGGCTATATGAAAACAAATTTTTTGAGGTAATAACGTAAATAATTAATTATCTGCTAACGTAGTTTACATTCAATATTATTAAAATTAAAATAATGTGTTCAACATTTTTTCATTTGTTTAAAATTTATTTATAAAAATTATAGTTGAGACAAACCCTACTCTTTTATTTTTAACATGCCAATATTACCCTACTCTGAGTTATACACATCCCAAAAACCGGGGACCGTAAAATAATTTGATAAATTCATCGCATTCTTTTTGACAGGATCACTAGCATTAAATAAATCGACCAAAAACAGTAATAATTATACTTTAAAAAACTGAAAAACACGGTTCTAAAAACATCGAATTATACGATATATATATATAAAATAACACAAAGCGTGCCAATTATTTAAAATTATTTTAAACTTTTCAGTTCTGTGTTTTTTTTTTTTTATATTTTTTAAACTGTATAACTGTACCGTGCTACATATGAGTAAATTTTTAATGGCACATCACATGCGGTGGTAAGCCTCAAGGAGAGGCTGAACGTTTTCTTCAAGAGTATATCAATTTTAAGATTACTAGACCTTAAAACAGCTCAAAATATTTATATAAGCCTTGTATGCAGAATGCTGGCCATAGTGGTTTCAAACCAGAAAAATGTGTATTTTGTATATGGCAGAGGGTGTAGCAAAATTAAAAACACTTTTTTTTCGTCCATGCTAGTGGTGTTTGGAAAAATAACATTTTTATTTTCATGACTCATTTCCGCAAACGATTTTCTTTCGAATGCGAAAGTTTGAATTGACGCTGTTTTAAAAAAATATCTGAGAAATTCTACGAAAAGATTTGATTTCTTGAAAAGAACTGATTTTTTTGTGACTTGTTAATAAAAGTATGTCTTCTCACACGTCTCTTCAACAGGACAGTTATTATTAGATATAACTCAAGGAGTAAATTTTTATAAAACTTTTCTGCGTTTATAATTTGGTGCAGGGTTTATATTAGTTTCTGCTTCATACGAATGCGACTTGACATCTAGCACTTTTTTGGAAAAAACGCTACACTTAATAAAAAGAAATTATTTCATCGTTATAACTTAATTAAATTTTGTTCGACCAAAATTGTCGCTACTTTTCTTTGTTTACTCTTTTCTTTCTATTTGTTTATAAAAAATTGATCTTGGTCTAGACTCTTCACCTTTTTTGATAAAATTGTATTAGTAGCTAAAATTAAACCACTACGAAATTTAATAACAATATATCCCATTGATAATATGTTGACCGTATAGCCGAGTAGTTATCAATGCGTGATTTATTTTTAATTGAGGTCACCAATCGGCAGGAAATGTTAACTCCGATTGTATTTCTGAAATAAAAGCTTCTCATGAAAATTCATCAGCTGAAGCGGCATTTTTTGGGATAATATCAAGGCGCACACCACATTACCGATTAGAAATAGAAACTATCATAGTTTAACGACATATATTCCTGTATTAAATATATTCTGAATTATTCAATATTTCATATTATTATTAGAATAATAATATCAAAAAGTTAAGTTACATGTAAGTAATATATAAGTATTTACAAACATGTTTTAATTGTGATTTTATTAACTAATGCTTAAATAATTGTCATCTTTCAGAAATTTTTACATTTTGTAATACGTTTGATGCCGATAGAAATTTTGAAAAACCATGACAATAAATTTCTACCAAGCGAAATTTTCAACATTCTCTCCTGGGAAAAACTTAACGGTTTGTATTAGTTAACGTGTCCTCAGTATTATATAAAAACTCATTTTCCTCCTCATCCTCAGCAGAAAAATAATGATTCTGTTCAGTTATATATTCCTCACTCTCAACCAATTCTGAGCATGATATGTAATCTTTGACAGGCAGAAAAGTATCAGGCTCTAGATTTTCTGTTAACACTGGAGGTGGCGCCAAATGTATATTAAGATTCGATATAAACTTATTTATCCAAACAGTAAGGTTATTTGCTAAGACTTGCTGATATTCTCGCAGGTTGCTTGTGGTATAGAACTCGTTGTCTGTAAAAAAAAGCGCAAAAAATATTTAATCAATGCTATTAGAAAGAAAAAAAAATACAAATACTACATAAAAAAAATGCAGTCAACGAGTTACCACAAGCGATGAGTCCAGTCGAATCTCGTGTGTAAGATTAAAAAGAGGACCCTTTTTCAATAGAAAATTAATGTAATTTTTCTATCCGAGCTCAATTTTTTTGAACATACCTGTAAAATTTCGAATTTGCTCCAAGATAACAGCGCAAAGAGTTGACCGCTCGTCTATCAAAAACTGATCGTTCAGAAGAAAATCTCTCATTTCCTCAAATAACACACAAATTATTTTTCTTATCTGTCGCCGCTGCTTACGTAGAATATGTTTTTTAAGTCTCCGACACTGTCGTCTTTGCAATGTCTGGGCAACTCGCTTTAAACGCTTTTCTTCTTCAATGTAAGAAAGTGCTGTCTTTATGCTATAAGACACAACCTTGGACTTTTGATCCAAATGATATTTTAATGATTTAATTTGTCGTTTTCTAAGGGCGCTCTTGTATGCTTCCAGTGTCCAGCGGACACGTTTTAAATCAGGCAGAGCTAACTGTTCTATTCGTGTCGTACAATTCGGAATAATAATTTTCTTTTGATAATATCTTGGTCTTTTCCGTGGAGCGGCCAAGTTATCTCGCGGAGTGGATAAATAACACATATGCTCCTCTTTAGTAAGAACATCGCGATCAATTATTACGCCACCGGTGTGCTTGCATGAATACTGAGGGTTGTATTGCGGACAGATACAGAAAAATTTATATCCATATAATAGTGGTGCCCGTTTTGGCTTTTTATATTTCAATTTTATGGAAGAGCATTGTGTCTTTCGCTGATTAAGCAATCTCTTCGCTGCTTCTAGTTCTTGTGAAACTGTTGGCTTTTTTATTGGATCAAGTTGGATTTCGATTACACTTGGAATTTTATCAAATGTTGAATACATTTCAAATTCACAATTATTAATTAATTTATTTCAAAATGAAAATATTTTTATGTGGCACTTGATGTTTTTCTTTTTTTTTTTTATAGATGAAAACTTAACTCTTGAAAGATATGCCTGCCATTTATATACTGAGGTTTTAAAAAAACTACCAGCCGTAGTTCGCAAGTGGTGGAATATATCTTCATCTCGCCAAAAAACTTTTGTGGACAGACTGACTACAAATTTCGTATCACCTTTAATCTGCGAAGGAGAGTTGTCATCGATAAGCGCTAATAAAGAGAAAAATGAAAATATGCAAGTAAGTATAGAAGAAGAATAAGTACAACGGCGTTACTTAAGAGATTAATTTTATTTTTTCGGATTTCGTCGTAGGTGACAGTTCATTTCTCCACCAGAGAAGTAATAGCAGTTTATTTCATTGATGAAGTTCGAACGGAACTAACAATTGTTCTTCCATCTAATTATCCGTTGGGTCCGGTAAAAGTTGATTGTGGAAAAAATATTGGTGGGCGTTTATCGTCGCGCAATGACGCCTTGCAATTGGCTTTATTCTTAAATCACCAGGTAAATATGTATAATTTAAATGATTCCCACAGAAACAAATTTTCGCGTAAAAACTTTTTTGCTACTATTTAACATAAAATATAATATGCTATTGATATTAAAAATCATCGGTATCTAGTTTCTATAGAAACACTGGCCACTGAGCTGTTGAGAAATTTAACAGCCAATTAGAAATACCAGTCAAATCTTATGCAAGCTACAGTGTTCTTACCCAATCGTTCGTCATGCCCTAGCCAGCGCTCAACTCCCACGACAGCCGTTCCACACACTGGGGTTGACCCGGATTTTATCCGGACAAGGTGATCATTTCGGCAACCCGTTTAGGTCACCAGGTAACATTAGTTTAAGTGAGTCAACCGAGCAACAGCTCGCAGCTGGGCTGCTCAAAATCCTTATCATCAGGGCTGGCATCAAACCCAGTGCTGGTAGGTCGTTTCATTTCCGCTGCATTTGCCACAAAGAACTCCACTATTTTACTTAGATGCTACCAGTACGATGGCTGAAGTCATCTTAAGGTCTTTAGGTAAAACACACAGAGAGCCATCCATGCGTTGCGTGGCCCTATGCTGCTTGTGCTCAAACGCGCCCCAAGCCACTACACCTGCACCCTTTCCCACTCGTGCAAACTACCCACTCCTTTTTAGCGGCGAATGTCATCACTACCTCTCGTATTTGGCATTAAATATAATATATTGTACATAACGCACATACTCCTATATAACATAACATCAGCATAACTGGGCATACATTGTGGCAAAGCATTTATATGCATATGTAAACAATTCGTCCTAAGTTCTTCTCAACAGTAAATGTACGTTGTACGTTTAGCTTTAACATTAAATTTATTGTATGTACATGTATGTATATAACGTATTGAAGAAACGACAGATCTAAACTTAATATAAGCATAAATAGACATACATTATTGTGACATATTTATGTATTTACAGTATGGTGATCGCAGTCTGCAAGATAATCCAAGTACAATAGGGTGTAACCATGCTACTACAACTCGGCCATCCTGATATTTGAGATCTCCTGATCTCCCCATATTTTTCACTGCCCACAGGCCCCTGTAAGGAATTCTAGACTGTTGGAAACCCTCTACATCTTTCAACATGTAACGATCGTTATTCAATCCTTTTACAACTTTATGAGGACCTTTAAACTTCGGAATTAGTTTCTACGATGTTCATGCATTTGAATCGATTTTTTTTACACCTACATAATCCCCTTTATGGGATATATGTGGACTTTTCATAGTAACACACCATTATGCTTTACAACACTTCCCGTATTTCCTTAATTTTCGAATCTTTACCTTGACAAATAACGGGATTTTCCTCGAATGTGTTTGATTCCAATATTAAAATATTAAAATATTACACGACGACAAACAACGACTTAGAACACCAACGTGTTGCATTCGATGCTACAACACATACATAATCATAGTTTAGGAGCTCGATTGCCTATCTAACAATCATAGGATTTAAATCTTTTTTATATAACGTCATTGTCAATGAGCTACAATTTGTTGTTATCTTAAATTTTAAGCCTTGGAGATATATTCTGGATCGTTGAAGAGCATAAATTATTGAAAGTGTTTCAAGTTCAAAGCTATGATATTTTGATTTACTTTCGGATGTTCGGTTTGAAAAAAAAAAAACTGAACCGATGTAATTTACCATCACCTTTCTTTTGCATTAAAATTGCTCCGAAACCGGTTGCACCAGCAGCACAATGCAGTTCTTTTAAGTCTCTAGGTCCAATAAAGGCGCTTGCAATAATTATTGTTTTAACTTCTCAAGCTTAGCATTTCTTTCAATCCAAATTGAAATTTTCGGTCTTTTTCCGTTAAACCATACAATACATTTACAAACCTACGAATTTAAGAACATAATCCAAGAAAGCTCTGTTTGGAACAAACCTTGGTAGGAACAGGAAAATTTCTAATCGCATCTGGGCCTTTTTCATCTGCTCGATACCATCTTCTCTAATTGTATAACCCAAGTATTTTATTTTTTTTTTTTTGAGATTGGAGAAACTCACATTTGTCCAATTTCAATCCCAACCTATTATTCATTAATCTTCGAAAAACTTCCTCTAAAATATGTAAATGTTCATCTATGTTCGCAGTAGCTATCAGTATATCATCTAAATATTGTATATTATCACCATATTATCCGGAGCCATGTCTGAAAAAGTTTTTTTAACAAAACTTTGAAAAGTGGATGGAGCGTTTTTCAAACCAAATGGCCTACGAAAAAATACTAAGTCCTAATGGTGTAATTAACGATGTAAACTTTAAGGCATCTTACTTACTTACTTCACTGGCGTAGACACCGCTTACGCGATTGTAGCTGAGTTAACAACATTGCGCCATTCGTTTCTGCTCTTTGCTGTGTGGCGCCAATTGGAAATACCAAGTACAGCCATGTCCTTCTCTACCTGGTCTTTCCAACGGAGTGTAAGTCTTTCTCTTTCTCTGCTTCCATCGGCGGGTACTGCATCGAAAACTTTCAAAGCTGGAGTATTCACATCCATCCGGACCACATGACGTATCCAGCTGCTTCTTGATTTGCTGAACTAAATCAGTGTCGGCGAATTACTCTTGCAGTTAATCATTCCATGGTCAAAGCATCAAATTAAAGAAGTCACACGATGAGGAGTCGCTTTGTCTGAAACCTCATTTGGTATCGAACGTCTCGAAGAGCTCCTTCGGATGATCCTGATGGAGTTGATGTTGCTCAAGATGAGTTTACGCCGCCGTATAAGTTTTGCGGGTACATCAAATTTAAACATAGCGGCGTAAAGGCAGCTCCTAGTCGTGCTGTCGAAGGCGGCTTAAAAATCGACGAAGAGGTAGGTGATGAGTGTCGATCCTCTTTTCACGGGTCTTGTCCAAGATTTGGCACATGGTGAAAATCTGGTCAGTGGTTGACTTACTAAGTCTAAAGCCACACTGATAAGGTCCAAACAGTTTGTTGACTTGGCTTTAGTCTCTCACGCAATACGCTTGTTAGAACCTTATATGCGATATTGCCACGATAATTGGCGCAGAATGTGGGGTCCCCTTTTATATGAATTGGGCAGAGCACCGTTAAATTCCAATCGTCGGGCATGCTTTCGTCCGACCATATTCTGCAAAGTAGATGATGCATGCACCTTGTCAGCTCTTCGACGCTATGTTTAAATAGTTCCGCCGTAAGTCGTCGTAACTTCTCATAGAATTTTCGAGCATTACCCTTGACAGCCAGCTTCGTAAGCTTTTCATACTCACGCATCTCGGCCTCTTTCTTTTTTTTTTTTTTTTGCCTGCAGATGTGTCTTTCTTCAGCTCTCTGTATCTGTCGCCTGTCGTCTGTTTTCTCTCCACTACGACGCGGCAGTCCTCATCGTACCAGCTGTTTTTGCGACCTTTACGAAATCCAATAGTTTCGTTCGCAGCTGTACCTAGTACGTAGTTGCTGATGAGTACTCTCAGAGGGCAGGAGTGCAAGTCGAGTAGAAAATCGTTCGGTAGTCTGTTGTGATTGCAGCTTTTCGACGTCGTTCTTTCCTTGTGTTTGTTGACGGGCGTTGTAACAAGATAGTGGTCCGAGCCGATGTTGGGTGCTCGGAGTGTACGCACGTCAAGAACACTGGAGAAATGTCTTCCGTCTATCTCAACATAATCGATATGGTTTCGCAACCGCATCATTACAAAGTATGTTGACGTTTTGGAACTCGCCCTATCTTCAGCTGTAACCTTTTTGGGTGTGAGATAGTCAACACACATTCTTTGGTCACCAGCATTTTTCCTAACACAATCGGTAATACGAACTCAAATTCACTTGGTTGTATATACTTTTTGTCAAATATTCATCTAACAACTTTTTTAATTCTATATTTTCTCCGTATAACAGCCTTCGTGGTGGGCATTGAATGATTCCACATTATTCAAATTGAACTTCATCTCTCATTTAATCTTTGGCTCAGTAGGGCGTTTCGATCTCAAATAACAGTTTTCAAAAAATCCATTAAGTTTTTGCTGATAACAATAATTCGAATCTAATAGTGATAATTCGTAATATTTTCAAGTGATTTGTTTGTCATCCATTATTACTTTGGATTCTTTTTCTAAGTTAGTTTCTTCTATGTTTAACATATATTATACTTATTTTTTGTATTTTGAAAGATACTTTCATTTTCACTCTATCATTTGCTGAATTAAATTCATTCATACTATATTTTTCTTTATATTAATATTTTCCATTTACTTCAAAAATAATTTCATCATTTTTGTTTCTTGAATTTTCCAGCTTTGTACTTTTTTCGGTTTCATTTGAAACGTATTTGGTTTTCTTCATCTCTTGCTAATCTATACTTGCATATTCTAAGGAAATCTCTTCCTAGAACTGGCTTATAGCTCATTGTTCCATCAGCAACAACAACAAAATTAATTTAAGATTTTCCATGCATTTTTATTTTTGGTTTAATCAATCCAAAATATTGTACATTTTCATTTTTTTAAAAACATAAACTTAAATTCACGCCAAAATGCAGATTTCCGAATGAAGCTGATTGGGCTTCCTGAATCTATTAGGCATTCTAAAGAGAATTTTGTTCTTTCTCGGTGGACATTTGCAATTCGATGAGCCATACTGCCGCAGGCTTAACATGCACTCTTCCTCTTCTTTGGTTTCTTGCATTATCAAGCGAAGTGCCCAGTGCTGTTGCAATTGAAGCACCTTAAAATGATTTGTACCGGATTTGAAACATTATTACTTTTATTTATCTTTATTTTGCAAAAAGCGCGCATTAATTGTCCTCTTGATGAAAAATCTTGTGGATAGGCTTGTGTTTTTAACTGCGCATCGCCGATCCTATAGATCATATAATTTAGAAGTTCGTCTATTTCGAGATCTGGACAATTTGACAACGAAACTTTGTCATTGAAGTATTGAGTGAAGTTCGAATTTTTCCCACAAGACTAACTTGCTTTCGTTAGATTCAAA